CACACACATTAGAATTTGTACACAATTTCTGTTTATTCTATTCATTTTTCCAGTGAGAAACACATTTTCCGAAGCCAAAACAGTAAATGATCTCAGCGCCAAGAGAAGGATTAAGATAAGGCAAGCCATATCTCAATTGGAGAGTCAGAGAGAGAGCGATGCTAGGAGACTGAGCAGAAGAGTGAGAGAGAAAACTGAACAGTTCCTAGCTACTCTCAAAGCTGGTCTTCCCAGCATAGATTCAGTAGCAGAACACCATGCACAACCACATTCAACAACCTACTCCAAAGTATGAGAAGGTATCGAAAAGCTCATAGAAAAATTACATTCTTTTAAATCCCACTTTCCACGAATGTTTTTGAAGGCCCCTCATAAGTGCTTTTTAAAATATATACACATACAATTTGGGATTACTTACATTATTTCCATTCCCCCAACCATTATGCACATTAGCAAAATTAATTGAAATTCATTCATCTCAGCATCAAAAATGAAGGCAGAAATCAACTTGCTTTCTACTGTACACACATGGGTTTGCCAGGAGTCGGGACAAACTCACTGACGATTGAAAGCCACAATGACCAAGTATGAGAGAAAAGGTACATGCTGAAAAAGGAAAGCGAAAACCAGTTGCTAACAATGGAGCAGACAAGGAGCAATGATTCTGTAGCAAGTACAAATCTGCAGTCCTCGTTGGGGAATAGTTTCCACTTCTAAGAAAATCTGTGTCTATGATTGCTATTCACAAAATAGTGATCTAGGAAGCTCATTTGGAGATGGTCTCAAAAGACTTCTTCATTAACAGAAATAAATAGTCTTAATTATTATTCTAGGATTCTTGCCATAAATATAGCAAGACAAATGTCAATTGGCTTGATTATTTTCAATTATACTGGATCCAGGAGACAAGCACCTAAATGATGAATGACAAAACAGTGTATGACACGTGTTTCACCTGTGAACAACTGCAGATGTTATTGTATTTTTCAAGGCATGAGAGACAATGGTTCTTGGTAGCCAGATTCATAATATCATCTCTGAATACTTGCCAGGATGGATTTGTACAGATGCTAATAGACTATTTAATAATCTATGTTTATGTTAGTCACCTTCAAGTAAGGGCTAGGATGATTCCCCTCCTGGTGCAGAATGAACTCCAGTATGGTCTAAAGTTGAGAATCTCTCCTCGCTGTTTGTTTGCTTTTTTCAATATTAATATGATATAGGCCTGCAGAAAAGGCCCACCTGGCATCCTTATTTAATACCCTAGTTCATTTGTTAGGCACAGTTCTGTTTCCTTACATCATGTAAACCTTGCCTTAGACCAAACTGAAGTTTCCTGAGTGTGGCCAGGCATTAAGCTAACATCGCAAAGTAC